ATTTTTTTATATATAATTTTGAAATAATAGGATTATAAATTAAATATATTTTTGAATTTTTATAATTTTAATAATAGAGACAATTTATAATTAAAAAGTACCAATTTTGGGCGTTGTAGGGGTGCTAATCCTTTCCTAAACGTAACCGACCACGAATCCCTTTTTATTATTAAGAACGAATTTTTGGTTATAAAACGCAGATCAGTTCATTTTTTTAATTGATGTTTTTTTAAAACTCTTTTAAAAGAAAATTTTTTAGGTATTCGACCTACCTGATCCAAAAGGTCGATGGCGACTCACAAATTATTTTCAAAATTATTTATTCACATCAATTTCCCCGCCAAATTTAATATTTCGTGCCCGGACGAAAACCGGTTACGACAACCTAACTTAGCCGAACCATTGTCACAAATGGTTTAACCAGAAAATCTTCCCATGACCGGTATCGGTCTCATCTATTTGCATGAAAACTAACGTTTACCCCTTGTCGTCACGATTGAATTTCGATCATACTGCAATACTCCATCTTGAGGAAAAATTACACTGCCAAAGTATAAGAATACTTACTTCATGTGTTACTGGGGCATCATCTTTTATAACTTTGCAGCTTTTGGTTACTGATTCCAGGATATCTATGTCATCTTCACAGCAGAGTATGAATTTACAAGAATCCGAATGACGGTCCATAATCCATTTTATCAGGTGATGAATATTTTCTGGTGCCTTTTCAAAGTCATAAAGCACTATAACTGAAATAAACACTCAACTTTATTGGCTTTGAGTTCACTGCTCTAAACAGTTCTAAAATGTCAACAACAATCTGGTAGTCTTTTAGAAATTGCTAGGGACATACATTCCAACTCGGGTCGCCATATAGTTCTCGCAGGAAAGCCATTGTTAGTGCCCTTTTTCCAGAACCAGATGGTCCTTTGAACAATATATTAGGACAAGTTTCATGGGATGCCTAAAAGGTGCAACAGACCATTAGGGAATATCTTTACATATTACGATTGAACGTCCGCATGTGCGGTAGATGAGAAATTGAGTAAGGAACAAAGGACTTACAAGTTGCTTCAGAAGCTGAGTTCTTGTTTGTGACAGGTGAATCCATTCAAAGAAGTTGGTTGATACTTATCAGCCCAAAATTGCCTTATTTTTCAACTACAATTGCCTTCCCAATGAAAGAGGCCTCGTTAACGTCTTGCTTTTCTGGTGATTTCCTTGAGGTCCTGCAGGGTCCTCGTCTCATCACACAAGCAAACCAGGCCTCACTTTGGCCCTTTAGTCTATTTGTTGTGAACTTCCTTGAGTTTACACTACCACTCTTCCCACTGCTATCACTTATCTTACTACTTACAGTGCTAAGTTTACCATTACTATGTCTGTTAGCAGCTGAACTGGAAGTCATTGTTGTTCTTGATAAGCCAGTGCTCGATGAGAACCCTTGAGCATTTGGGTTGATGTATCCATTAGCTCCCATTTGTTGATGGAAAGCAGAATCCTTTTGTTCAAACCTTGGTGGCTTTGGAGGAAATTGGTTTTTGAAGATTCCATTAATTGGAAACTCATTGATATGCTTTTGCATTGCCGAGGGCACAACATCGCGAGAAAAGAAGATAATCGCCGGGCGAAATGGACTCTGTTCTTTCGAACATAGAAGCATTATACATGAGACTTCTAGAAATCTTTGTATTGGCAATCATTTCATTCATTCCACCTACTGTTTGTTGTTTCACCAGCGAGACTTCTCTTTGTCTTGGTGATGTAGTCACTGATCGACGACCATGGTTTGAATTTTCGCTCCCTCTGCCAGCCTCAAGAAGCTGCTCGATCGTTCCTATTTCATCTCTTTTCGGAGTTCTACCAGTTTGCTTCCTTATAAGCCAGCTACGTCACCATTTCCCATTTCATTAATCAATTTATGCTTCTCTCTACCATGTTTATAAGGAGATACATGCCTCCGGCTCTCACGTTTTGACTTCGACAAGGGGCTAACATTCGACCGTCATCTCTCCTTGGCCTGTAAGGAGACTTGCTGTTGTGTCTCCTTGGAAGGGGACTGGTTCTAGGTGGAGATCCATTGTCATATTCAACCTTTGAAGAAAGTCTTCGGCTGAGTTTCAAAGGGCTAATGCTTCTTGACAAATTGTCATGTTCTTGCCATTCAGTCTCTGTATCCGATGGCTCATAACCGCTCCGCCTGTGCTTCAATGGAGTAGAGGAATGACGCTGAGATGCTTTGCTACTTCGAGACAAGTTCTCCATTTTTCTTCTTCTTCAAACTCAACAAAAGCTCTCAGCCAACTTGTGTTTTCTATGGTTGCCTTAACATCGTTAAAACAACCGAAGAAGGGACAAGAATTCAGTGGAATTCCATCCGAAGAAACGTGGATGCAGATACTAATTGAATTTAGGATGCGTTTGATTCATGGAATGTAAGATTACCAGTGGAAATAAAAGATTATCAGGAAATATGATTACGGAAAATGTTGTATTTTGTGTTTGGTTGATTTAGTAAGAATGTAAGATTATCGTGTTTGGTTAAAGGAATAAAAGATTATTGGAATGTATATTTGACCAAGCTGTCCTTATTATATATTTGTATAATATTGCAAGTTGTAAAAAAATTATATATTTTCTTTAAAAAATTAAATTCATAATATTTATATAATTTTTTTATAAAATTAAAAATATAAAAAATGTTTAATGAAAGGGTAAAATTTTATTCAACCCTTGAACTTCATATAAAATTTTAATTATAGACTTTTTTTGTAAATCTAAAATAATTTAAGGATAAATTTGTAATTTAACCTTCGTAGAATTTTTATTATTCAATGACAGAAGAATGATATTTTTGAAAAAAAATAAATAAAAATTTAAGAGCATTTTAGTCCAAAACGCCGGTAATATTACAATACCTAAGGAAAGGGAGGTAATAACATTTCCGGTAATATACCTAAAAAAATAACTATTGATAATAAAATATTACCGTAAATAACATTCCCGATCAAACCAAACGAAAAAAATGTAGATTCCATTCCGGAGGAAATCCCACCTTCCCCATCTAAACGCCCCCTAGGGAATTGACAATAACTGATAGGCTGGAAAATTACAAACCAGTCAAAATTCATGTCCAACAAGGCTAAGCCATATAAACAATAAGGTCGCACAACAAATTTAAAGTTGGGTATTGAATGAGGATATTATTTTCGGATTTCAACTTTCTAAGATTTAATATCTATTTAAATATCGGTATTTTTAACATTAAATTGAAGATGACGTGTTTTTCTCAACTTTACAGGCTTTTAAACCACACCAAACTATGTCAAAAATACACGTCAAAGTAATTAAAGCAAGTTTTAAGCATATAAAGAGAGGCTTACAACCCATTTTGTAAGTCAAAGACAATCACTAGATTAATCTAAAACATACTAGACTAGCGCTGTAAACAAGCTGAGTCAAGATCGTGTATTGTAGAGCTCGACTTGATTTAAAAACTTTAAAATATAATTTGTCTCGACTCGAAAACTCATGAGCCTAAAATTTTTAAACTTAACTCGAACTCAAAACCATAAATTAAAGCTCGTAAAAGTTCCAAATGAAAAAAAAAATTAACTTAACTCGATTGAAACCTTAAACTCGAATATGAACCTTAAATATATGAAAACCTTAGATTGCATTTTTTTAAAAATCAACTCATAAATATTAATATATTTTTAAAAATAAAAGTTTAATATATTATATTTCCAATCTATTCACGAGCTTTTCGAGTCGAATATCAAATAGCTCGTTCGAGTCAAGCTCAAACTCGAGTCTAGTTGAGTTGAGTATTTATCGAGCTTTGACTACGTCGATATCGAATAGCTTACGATTTGTCTCGTTTCGTTTATTATACTATAACTGAATATATTATTATACACTCACATACATTAAGGGTATGTTTGTTTCATGAAAAATATATTTCTCATTTTCAGCGTTTGATTCACAAAAAATATGTTAATCAATGTAAAATATTTTTCTGGTCAACATTATTTTTTTTATTTTCTGAAAATGATTTACGGTCTAGTTTTTTGTAGGTCAATTTCTGAAATTTTCACTTCAAAGCATATATACTCAAAATAATATTATTTTATGTATTTAATGTTGATATAATATTTTAATATCATTTTAATAAAAATATTAATTATTAAAATATATTAATTAATATTTTTTATTAATATGTGTTAAGTACAAAATATAATATATGTTTAAAGATAATTCTCTACCTTTCAACATTGAATGCTCACACTCCTAACATATATGGTGATCGATCCCAAGTCTTCAGGAAGAACAATTCATTTACCACATATGACACTTAGTTCGTGCAATATTATAATAATATACTCAATTATATTATAGTAATATTTATTATATTCTTTTTTAATAACATATAATAAAGTATAAATAAATTTATATTATTTATTAATTTCATAAAAAAATGTTATTTAATTATTAATAATGAATAATATTATTTATGTATTTAATATTAATGTAATAATATAGTAATATTTTAATAAAAATACTTCAAATGTATTTAATAATAATTTAAAAAACATAATACAATATTTTTATTTCAATAGAATATATTAATTTTAATATATTTATAATAAATAAATTTAAAAAAATTATTAATTAACGAAAAATGGTTTATACAATATTTTTCAAAGATCGTAAAACGTTTTTTGAAAAATATTTTCAATAAAACAAACGGATCTTAAATCTGTAAATACACTATCATAAGCATAACATGATTCATTTTATTTAGCCAATCACTAAGAAATGAAACATATATCATCCAGTGACAAATTATTTCAATATAGCTTGTGATAATTTATGTAGTGTACTCAAAATTTAAAAATAAAAACATTTCTGAAAATAAACAAAAGGACATATTAGGTACCTGAAAGATAAAACTCTCCTACTAAATTAGACTGGCCCTGACTCCCGAACAAAAAGATTGAACTAGTCTTGGTTCGATGTACCTAGTCCAAGTCAATATATTCCCATTTGTTCTTCTAAATTGGACGGTCACGGAAGGAGTGTCTCTCATTTTCCTTTGTTTGTTGTGTTCCGGTTGTCTCATATAGATGACGCTGTTGGAAGAGCAAAAGGATCAATCAACTTTGGAGAATCCGAACCTATCGCCGCCAAATTCGTATGGCGCCGTCGTTCTCGGTGGCACATTCGACCGTTTGCACGACGGCCACGGCCTCTTCCTCAAAGTAAAACTAACAAAATTATCTCTCTGTCTATCTCTCTATTTTCTTATTGCTTGTGTTCTAGTTTTATTTCTTTATCCAAATTCATATGAAAAACGAAATTTTGTTGGAAATAGTCAGCAGCGGAGCTTGCCAGGGATCGAATCGCGGTAGGTGTTTCTGATGGTTCCATGTTGACCAAAAAATAGGTTTTTTATTTTATTTTTTTGCTTATTTTATATGAAGTTCTTGTCTTTTTACTCTGAAATAATCGAAATACTAAACTTTTGGTTGAATTAGGTTAAGAGAAAAGTGCTTTTATTAACTCTAGTAATCCTTCTCTCATTTATAGTTCGCTGAATTGATTCAACCCATTGAAGAAAGGAATCAAACTATGGGGGTACTTTTATCAGAAAACCATGATTTTGTTTATTAATAATTTTGCTTACTTTTTCAGTCTATCAAATCAGTGCTGGCAGTGCAAGTTGAACCTATTACAGATCCCTACAGACCTTCAATCATTGATGAACACTTGGAGGCCATTGTTGTCAGGTTCAACATTGACTAACTTGCTATTCATCGATCATATTAAGATGTATAATATAAGATAATTGATTCTTAATTTAGATCACATGAATGCTTACTTTGCTTTCTGGATATTGTGCTTTGAAGTGCAAAATTTTGGCTTCCTTTTAAAATCCATTGATGTGTTTACTATAATTCAACCTTTTAGATAATGCTAGTGAATCCTTTGGCTAACTGCAGCAGTTTCTTGACAGCAAGGAGACATTACCAGGTGCAATATCTGTTAGTAAGAAAATAGCTGACAGAGGTCTGTCTCAGTTAAAGGTTTGTTTGTCTGGTTAATTTCTATGCTGTATGTAGTATTTGTTAGTGAGACAAATTTTCTTTACAATTTTCATAAAATGTTGCCATTTTCTGCATATTGAAGTTGTAGATCTAGTTTCTGAAGAATCTAGTGGAGGCAAGTTGAGTTCAACAACTTATCAAAAAAAAAAAGTAGAGTTCAACAACATTAAGAAAGCTTGAAGCTGAGTAGGCCCCAAAAAAACCAACAGTTTGCCTCAAATTTGATGGTAATAAACTGATATGCTATCAATGGCTGCAACAAAGGTTGTCATAGTTTTATAGTTCATTCTTCTCTCTTTCGTGATACTCCAACAGCAAAAATGTACAAGGGAGCCTGAATTTAATACCATAAAGCTTTCAAGTTTCTCCTCTAAAGTATCAATCTTTGACACAAAATTAGTTCTTTTGTCCTGCACTTATAGGACGGCTGTGATGAAGAGTATACATGTATCTTGATGCTTTTAACTTGTGGTTCAAACTTCTTTTTTAGCTTAATGAGATAACAAATAAGGACCGCACAAAGCAAATGTAAGGATATATATATATATATGAAGTTTCCAAAAACCTTATCTAAATTTGTAAATTAGATTGAAGAAAGAAACTTTCATTCATCAGCTTTGTTTTAATGTCTTATTAACCAATAAATGACACCCATCACTTCATCTTCGACAAAGCAGTTGTCCCTGGAATTAAATGCCACCCAAACCCTATCTGTGCTTGATTGATGTTCGAAAACGGAGGAACTCAAGCAGATTCATGCACCACAAATGTTCAAAACCGGTCTTGTTGCAGATACAATCTTAGTAAGCAAAGTACTTGCGTTTTTTGTGTCTCCGAAATACGGTAATCTAGAACACGCCCAGAAGGTTTTTGATAGAGTGAATACGCCTAATACGTTCATGTACAACACAATGATTAAAAGATACACAGAACAACAAATCAGAAATGGCCTTTCATATATATTAGCCAATGCAGCATCTTTCAGTTCCACACATTCTTACACTTTTCCTTTCCTGCTTAAAGCGTGTTCCAGTTTGTCAGCTATGGAAGAAACCAAGCAAATTGACGCCCATGTCATAAAGTCCGGTTTCGGCTCGGAGGTTTATGCTGTGAATTCCTTGCTCCATGTCTATGCATCCTCTGGCAGCATCAAAGCTGCTCGTCTGCTCTTCAACCAGGTCTCGGAACGAGACATCTTTTCTTGGAACTCAATGGTTGATGGCTATGCAAAGTGTGGGAAGATGGAAATCGCATATGAAGTTTTCAAGAACATGCCAACAAAGAATGCCATCTCTTGGACTTCTATGATTTCTGGATATGTTGGGGCGGGCATGTACAAGGAAGCCTTGAATTTATTTCAAGAAATGCAGCTTGAAGGCGTCGAGCCTGATAAAGTTTCCCTTTCAAGCACTCTATCTGCTTGCTCATATCTCGGAGCTTTGGATCAAGGGAGATGGATTCATGCATATATTGACAACCAGAATCGTTATAGACCCAATCTTAGGCTGTGCTCTTATAGACATGTTTGCAAAGTGTGGTGACATGGAGGAAGCGTTAAAGGTTTTTAAGAAAGTGAAGAAAAAAGAAGTCCCTTTAAGGACCGCATTGATTTATGGATTTGCATTTCACGGACATGGAAGAGAAGCGCTGGAATGGTTTGAGAATATGCAGAAGGTAAGAATCAAGCCGAATTATGTCACTTTTACTGCAATTTTGACGGCATGTAGTTACACGGGATTGGTCAATGAAGGAAAATCATTGTTCTGAGAGAATGGAAAGAGTTCATAAATTAAGGCCAAGAATAGACTTGATCTACTAGGCCGAGCAAGGGCCCTAGAAGAAGCTAAGGGATTGATTGAGGAAATGCCAGTAAAACCAAATGCCGTTGTCTGGGGAGCATTGCTCAATGCTTGCCGGATCCATAAAATTGTCGAATTAGGGACAAAGATAGGTGAACTCCTGGTTGAAGAAAATCCAGACCATGGTGGCCGGTATGTTCACTTGGCAAGCATTCATGCAGCAGCAGGGGATTGGGACAGTGCAGTTGAAACAAGGAGGCACGGGAAAGAACGAGGCGTCTCGAAACTTCCCGGTTGTAGCGCAATAAGTCTGAATGGGGTTGTACATGAATTCTTAGCAGGAACCAAGTCCCATCCACAGCCGAAACAGATTTACCGCATGTGGGACAGTATTGCTGAAAGACTTGAAAAGGAAGGATATAAACCTGCATTGCAGAACCTACTGTTTGATCTCGATAACGAATCCAAAGAAATGGCAATCAATCAGCACAGCGAGAAGCTGGCTATTGCATTCGGATTACTTAGAACGAAACCAGGTACGACGATTCGGATTGTCATGAATCTTCAGATATGCGAGGACTGCCACACAGTTACGAAGCTAATCTCCAAGATATATGACAGGGAGCATGTCATGAGGGATAGAACAAGGTTCCACCATTTTAAGGATGGCAAATGTAGTTGTGGAGATAAATGGTGAGGAAGGAAAGACCACAACATTATCAACTCATTTTTTAGTACACAAACTTGGAATAGTTCATATAAAAGAGCTTTGACATATTGACAGAACACGATATAACTTGCAATAACTTGTCTTCAAATGCATCCCATAACATACTTCTTTTTTGCTCTCATTTCCTATCTCTCGACTGCTACTTCATTTTTAGCTGAGTATTTGTTGGTTTAATGTTCTTACTGTTTCCTACTTCATCAACTAAAATTACTTGTTAAATTTTAACAAGTGTTTTTAATTAAGGGAATAGATAACAAAAAATTGAATAAGGAAAAAATAACAACAAGAGTAATTAAAAAAATCCGACCTGCCGGATTCGAACCAGCGACCTAAGGATGACAATGAGGAAACCCACTACAGTCCTCCGCTCTACCAACTGAGCTAAGGTCGGGTTGACTTTGATATCTGGTAATAACATTTAGTACGTTAAGTATATTACAGGTTAAATATTGGAGGTTCCCCTAGAAGAATATGTACATGCTTTGGATGATTATAAATATTAACTCGGGTTAAAGTTTACTAGAAGTTCATCTATTCAACCAAAAAATGTATTCGCCATGGATTATCGATACCCTCTATCATCTTTTCAAGCCTTTGCAATCAGTCTAAGATGCTTTGACACCAAACCAGCTTGTGAATGATCACCACAGATCGGGATCTACATCTTTGATATGGCCATGGATTATTACTACCCTTCCTTTAATGCCATTGTGATGGATCCAGAAATTTAAAAATGGGAAAAAATTTCATTTCATGTTCGTGGGAAACAGTAACTTGTTGCAGAGTGACAAATCCAAATATCTACTGCCTGTTGCACAAGGGAGTGAGCACGGTCAGTGTCAACATCAACTCATTTTCTTCCCATTCATCATGTTATAGATGTATATGAATCTTATCTATTGATTCTTGGCCCTGAACAAATTATACGGTTGCTTTCTGCAACATGTTTTTGTTCTCTTCAATCTCAGACAAGCTTCTGCATTTCATATTCAATGTCATTTTGTTCTCCAGGACAGCTGTTAGGCATCAGTTATTATTACCTCAACAACAGTGGACAGCATGAATTCCCCTCAAGTAGATTGGAATGGTTAATATTCTCATGGGAACTTGAGAAGCAAGCATACGAAATTCTGGTACACCATGATTCCTTTGGTCCTACTATTACTTCGATGCCACTCAACACACGCCAAACACAAACACATATCGGTATTTGAAACTTTACTCTGGAATCCGGATTCCAGAGGGACAACATAGATTTTAAGCATACCAGATATAGAACTGATTGGAAGTGGAAAAACCACATAATTAGCTTCAAGACAAACAAAAGAAAAATGCCAGACCAATTTTGATTCAACTGTAAACTGATATCGGAAGGGAGACGGATCAACCAGGTTTCTTGGAAAGAGTCAGAGAAATGACGAGAAAACCATTAACAGCCTCCGTAATGATCAAGAATGTTAAGTGTAATACTAATTTTAATATTGTAGAACTGATCGAACCTTCTTGCGCTTTTAGAATTACCAAAGAGAGTTTGAAGTTCTGCAGGCAAGTTGGGCGGCTGGCTGGGCCATCTCGGTCACTAGCTCCTACCCCTTTTCACTCATCTCTATCACCTTTGTTGCCCCCCCCCCCCCAACAATGACTTTCTAACACAATGCCGCCTCTGTCATTTTCTATTCTCATCAGCTTGATCTTTATGGTAGTCTTAGTGTGGTCCTTTATGTTTTCTCTCCTTTCACAGCCTAGAAAGACATCAATATTCATTTCACTGGGCAAACATACTGACAATAAACATATCTTTAGTCATTATACAGTGGAAATATGGGGGAAAATAGGATTATTAATCATAGAGATGAAATTTTATTAGAATAGTGGGGCTATACATGAAGAACAATAGCTTGTTCATCGAGTAATTTGTTCGAATTTTCCTAGTCATAAAGTCTTGTAAGAATTAAGATGGTGAATAATCAATAATGTCATAAAAAATAACATCTTCAACGTGATACTTCAAGGATTTCAGGAATAGTAACTATCAGAATCATTAAAATAAGTCCCGTAGGAAGGATAATAGTGGCATTTGAAATTGTATTCCCTGTTGAAGTTTTGGTATGATTCCAGGAGCAGTACCTGCATAAAAAATCAGTAGACAACATATCTTAGCTGGTAATTAAGGAATAAAAGGAACTGAAATGGCAGATGTTTATGTACAACAATGTTGCTCCGACTCTTCATCTTGAAGTGTCCGTGTTCGGACATATATCCAAACATGGTTATGAGGATATAATCCTCCAAAAACTCTCGAAATATAATGAACTTTTGGAAAAAATGATCATACATGTGAGGGATATGACTACGAAACATAGATGAAGATAATGGAATTGACGTGGCAAATAAGAGTAAGATTGCTAGAGCTACCTGTTGATGTAGGAGACAAAAAGTAGTTGATCTATCTTAATGAAACCCCATTTTGTAGATGCAGTAAAGACCTTGAGGATCCATGTTCCAAGATGAGAATTGTCGCAGTTGCTGCAATATGAGTTCGACCCATATAATGTTAAAAGTCAACACCGAAAACGGTGCATTAATGCACAATTCGGTGCAATGGTCAAAAGGAGCAGACAATTGTTGAAATTTTCTAAATGGTCTAATCACAATTTAGTCATTGTAATTTAGGATATTTACAAATTAGTCCTTAAGCTTCAACTATAAAAACCCTGGCTCATTTAGCTTCAAAACCATCCCAAATCATTCTAGCTTTCTCCCAATACTAGAGAATTTAGAGAGTTCCTTGAGAGTTGTTTTCCTCTTTTTATCAAGAGAGAATTATCATTGTTTTCTCCTTGGTAGATCGAGAGAAGTTGTAATTCCTATTTTCTCATAGTGAAATTCTTCTATCGTTGCCCGTGGTTTTTACCCTATTTTATTTAGGGGGTTTCCACGTAAATTTTATGCCTTTTTTATCATCATTTTTATTTTCTCAAATTATTAGTTGTAATTTT